AAGAGCTGATATCTTATCCATATTAAAAAAGTTAATAACAAAGAATAAGAGATTGCTTATTGTATACGCCACTGTGGATAGAATCATGAGAAATGTGGCATTTTAATGGGGCCAGCATCGCTTTTGGGCGGTGTGATTGCAGCGGATGGACACGGAAACGGAGAGCCGAATAAATCTGGACAACGGGAAGTTAAATTAATATCAGTGCTGTTCTTTAATGATGACCTTAACGGGGTCATTGTTGAGGTGGTATCCTCTGAGATACTTCGAAATGTTAATCGCGTTCGGCGAGGGACATTAGTGGCATCGACGTTAAGATTACTCATTCGGTATGATGAACTCAAACCACCGAATGATTTCGTCTTATGGAAACGGTAACGTTTCAGTTCTTCATGATACGATGGCTCTCGCATTGTGACGTACGTTTGCGGCTCACAGAAACGCTTAAATTCATTAGATCATTGAAATATTATCATATTTTTTTACTATTGAAAATTTTCATCAGTAACACAAAATTCATGTATCATTAGCAGTAGTATGATCAAAACAAAATGTTATTGCTTTTCACAATCTTTATGAAGCATTTCGAATGAATGAACTAAATACTTTCTTTTTCCTGATGTAAAACTAATTAATTCAATATATGATTCAAAAAAGTTTTCGAATAAATTCTTTTTGAGAAAACGAACCACGAATCCATCTTGTCTAAAGAATTTCCTATATCCACGATCCAGAACATAAATCTCTTTATAATCTACTTCTGGATAACGTGATTCATTTCTACAGCGATCATACTGTCGCAATGCAGACGCCCTTAAAATGCGTATTCGATTTGGAAAATCATTTGCAGAATTTTGACATAACTCCTCATTCTGGATGTCAAATGAAAATTAATGAATACTGATGAACGCTCATCTTACGAATCATCAGAACAACGATAGACAAAAAGTTTGAGAAACAGATTTTCAATATATAGTTCAATTTCAATTGGTAAATCATTTATTAAAAAACGCCCTAAAGAATATCTCAGAATGAACATAATCTTCGTTCAGTTCATTTAGGAACTGCGGTTTGTTCATGAAAACTTGAAAAAAAANAAGTTGCAATTGAACTAACATTGATGGGCCACGTTCTTGTGAATATTCACAATAGAAAATTGGTATCCGTCGGAGCATCGCTTGGAATTTTGGGATCGAATTCGGATAGAAAACCGACTGTAAATTCGATGGATCGTGCAGATTGATGGCACCCTAAGAAGAGTTAAATTTTCACATCGTGTTTGCAATCAGCATTCCAGAAATAATACAAGTGAATCATATGAGTCAAGAACTGAGCATACGACTAATTACAAATGGAAACTGATCGAAACACAGAGCTTTAAAACAAAACCACTGCACAATGCATAGTACAATGTATAACGAAACAAAACGAGAACGATACGATGTAATTTTTCAAAAAAACACACAAACAATTATATTCTCAGTTGTATATTAGATATAAGAAATGATTTATTCATCAACATAATATTACCCTAATATGTCCGCCGTTATATTCATAAGGATATCTACAATCGACAATGATGAATTTCTTTTCAAATTCACTTATTTCCAACGACTCCATCAATTCGACTAATGTCGAACCATCGATACTTTTGAATGCCACCGAGTCAATTTGAGGTCTTGATAGGGTCCGCAATGAGTATTCCTGATTGCAGATTTTATGAGTGCTTCATTGTGGAATATACATTTAGAATTGATAACAACAGTGAACACAAGATGAGAGAACGCATAAAGGTTTCAACTTACAACATGAAGTAGATCAGGTAACTTATCACGAGCACATTTACCACTCTCAATATAACTGGTCGACTGTACACGCATTAACGATATTGATGTCGAACCACGTTCATAGTGTTCACTACCCTGAGGTGACCATACATTTACTTATGTTACAGACAGATTCACTTCGTACAATTCAAATTCAAAACGACTGGAATCGCCTGAATTCTGAGCATATTGCGATGAATTGAA